CAGGGAGGCGGAGCCTGGCTCGGTGCAGGGCCTTTAGGGGTCTCGCATCCGCACGCTTGTCTGTCCGGCCCTCTCCCAACCCCCAGCCCTGAGTACAGGCGCAGGCCAGGCCAAGGGGAGGGGACAGGATGGCCAGGCCAGCGCGGCGCGGCCTCCCCCTGGGCAGGCAGAGATAAGAAACGTGGGAACCCGGCAGGCAGGCGGGGGAGGCACCCCCAGAACTTTCCAAAACAAGCGGCCTCCTCCTAGCGGAAACTTTCCACTGCTGGAGCTGCGCCAAAATTTAGATGGATGGACCGTCCGCGCTGTCTGAAGGAAAGGGAGAAGGGCTGCACTTTGTAGCATCAGGGTTTTTTCTCGTTTCTGATGAGCTGAATGAGTCCCAATATGAAGGAACAGAAAGGAGACGGAGCACGTCCCGGTGAAGAGTCCCAGGCAGGATTCCCTGAGGGGGCTGTTGGAGGAGATGGTTGAAAGCTCCGGGGAGGGGCTCAGATGCAAGTAGGGCTGACCTGTGGGCAGAGGGTGCAGATGGCCCTAAAAGAGGCCTTTTCCTGTCCTCTTGGGGTGTACTTCAACAGAAACGGCAGATGATTTACTCAGCCTGGTTTAGATAATTCTGCCAGTCAGCCAACCTGTCATCCCGCATGTGGGAGGCTGAGGCAGTCAGCAAGGCTGAGTAGAGAGGACTCGCCGAGAGTCCCTTCTGGCCTGGACATCCTTGGGGGGGGGGGGGGCGGCGCTGTGGCCAGGGACTGGCCCCGGGCTCCAGGGATGGCGATGGAAGATCATGGCCAGGCTGTTCTCAGGTGGTGGGTACACAGCGGCCCGCAGGGCGCCTGGCTCTCCTTCCACCCCCTCAGCCGCCTCAGAAGTCCTGCCAAGGCCTGGAGGCTGACTGACCCTGGCCCTTCCCTTGTGGGCCGTCTTTGGCTTTTCCCTTTGAAAACAAAGGTACCCACAGACTCTACCCTGGCGCAAACCCAGCCTCTGCTGTCTGCTTAGAGCGGGCCCTGATGGTGGTGTGCCCACTGCTCAGCTCCATGGACTCAGTGAGTGCAGACTGGCAGCTTAAGACACACATCACCTCCTGCTGTGTTTTGTTTTTTAAAAAAAAAAAACGCTCCATCCTTCTGAGCTGCTGGTCCCCTCTTCTCACCTGGCCCCACACCCGCGGGCCTTGGTGCTGCAGGAGAGCCCACCCTGTCTGTGCCGGGCATGGAGGTGCCCACTTCTACAGTAGCTCCCCACCACCCCAGCCTGCGTGGCTGGCCTCACCACAAGGGCTCTGGGCCAGGTTCTCACTTAGGGCCACCCCACACCCAGAAGTGACATACACAATGCACAGCGGGGGTTCAATTCCATCAAATTTATTATAGACTTTAAAAGTCGGCGGTTCACCTGCTTAGTGCACAAAAGACAGGTTCCCAGAAAGGGTCCCGGGGAGGCGCTGCCTCTCCTGTCAATTGTTTTGGCAAAAGTGAAGACTGTAAACACCAACTCCATGGCTCAAAGTAGACTACCCACTGTACAGTCCAAAGGCAGAGACCACCAATAAGTTAGACTATCTTTAACCTGCCAGCACCTGCAGCCCCAGGGCCCGGCCCTGCCCTTCCCTTCATAAATCTCAGACAACAAAACAGACCAGTTCAGCTACCGGTCCCTGGGTGGAGTCCCACGGCAGGAGAGGGGCACGCTAGGTCGGGTCCACGCAGAGCCTGCGCAGTGCGGCTGTGTGGGGCATGCTCTGTGCAGAATCTGGCCCAGCCCCATTTAGAGACCAACAGCTATTTAAATAGGAAGTGTTGGTTTCCTCTAGGGTCTGGGGACCCCAGGGACCCCAAAGGAAAGCTAGGAGCTGAGTGGGGTGGGACTGGACTAGGCAAGTGCCTCCTGGTAGCCAGGCTCTTTGGAAGCCATCCAGAGACACCACCAAGGTTTAGAAAAATAGACATCTGTATTTGAGTTTCTGTTCTCCCCATTTTGCAGCTATGAGTAGCAGTGACCCTACCGCTTCCAACACATCCCCAGCAAAGATTCCCTCTCTGTGCACAGCTGAGAATCCATTCACACCATTCACACCAAACACACACACACACACACACACACACACATACACTCACACCAATGGCCCCTAGGATTTGGGGTATGAGAAGACGAGGCACAGTAAAAGCAGCAATTGGGGGCCACAGGCCTGCGCCCTGGAGAAGGCAAGCAAGGCACCACCCTTAGCCTCCTCCCCCCACCCCGTGGGAAACCAGCAGAGAGGACCCCAGGATTCACAAATGGATGGAGGGATGGAGCGGGGCTAACAGCACAGGACCACACAGCCTCAGTGTGACATGAACAGCAGGTGGGGGACGCAGCTGCTGAAGACCATATGTTGTTGAGGTCAATGCGGAGGGCTTTGGGCACTGCCTGGGAGCTGCAGTGACCTTGCCAGTACGGATCTGAAGGCAGCAGGACCTGGCACTCTGCTGACTGTCCCTGGAGCCTCTAACCCTGGAGGTGTGGGCCGTGGAGGAGGCACAGAGTAGAAAAGGTACAAAAATAGACAGTCTCTGCGGCAGCCAAAGGGCCGAGTTCATAGAAAAGTAGAAAAGGCAGGCAGAGCCATCAGCACAGCCCACTGGCGTGCTAGGGCCAGGCCTGCAACTGCCGCTGGTCATACTCTGCGATGAGGCGCTTGATGTGCGCCAGCTTGCGGTGCAGGTACTCGCAGCGTCTCTTCTCTCGGCTGTAGTTGGTGTTGGTCTGTGAGGGAACCAAGGGGTGGGTGAGACACATCTGCCCAGCACCCCTGGGCCAGGCAGGCCTCAGCACCCACTTTGCCTCACGTACCTTTTTGATTTTCCGGTATTCCTGAAGAATCTGCCCACGGGTTGTCTGGGGGAAAACACCAACAACTAATTATGTTTCACCTGGGACAGCTCCAAATGCAAACCCTCTCTGAAAGTGACCAACTAGATAGATGGAGCATAGTGACAGGGATGGGTGGCACTCCTGTGATTCTTGCAAGGGTGCAGGGTGCATGGCAAGGAAAGACACACGGTAAAGTAGCTGCACTAGGGAAATGGAAGTGGGTGCCCCAGAGACCTGCATGAGCTACAAGACCTCCTAAGGACAGGACCCAGCCCGGGTCACACACCCTGGCCAGACCCTACTGCAGGGACTCATGGCCAAACCCTGGGCATGGGTCACTGCCGACTCTAGGTGGCTGGCACTACCTCATACTCCTCGGAGCCTTGGCTCAGCTGCCTGAGCTGGGCATCAAGCTGTGTGAACCTGCGCGTGATCTGCTCGATGCGCGCATGCAGGCTCCGATACTCATTGTATTCGGCATTGAAGTCGTTCTTGTAGCTCTGACGCTGCTCTGACGATGAGATGGCGGGGTATTTCCTGAGGGACAAAAGGGGCTGCTGGGATCAAGGGCACAGTGGGCAGTAGCACCTGGCGCAGGCAGAGGCTGGGCAGGGCATAGACTATGTAAGATACTCACAGCAAGTAGTCCGGGCTCTCTGAAGTGGGCGTGGGGGCACTGGCACAGGCTCCATTCAGACCTGCATGAGCAATGGACCCTTAGGTCCAGGGAAGTGTGTGGGGTGTAAGTCATGCTTGATGGACACAGTGGGGACCCACTGTCCAGGCTATAGCCACACAGCCCAGACATGCTCCTCTCCAAGTGGCCTCTAGCAGGGTGGCTTGAAGTCAAACCCCACAGAACTCATCCACTGCTCATCCTGGAAGCATAGGGCATTTGCACTAGGCGAGAGACACAACCCCTGGCCACATAGACGACAAGGTAGATGTGGTCTCTGGCAGACAGCAACTGCAAACCTTGCTGGCACTGGCCTTCACTGAGAGCCCTGTCAGACCCCAGTCCTCCGCACGGTATTCCCACCAAACCTTCCGCCAGGAGCTAGTGGAACCTAGGAAGGGGTGAGCAAGGTACAGGCCGTGCCTGCCAGGCAGAACACCACTTTCCAGCCACTTAACTCATTTATTTGCAGGTTCATTTACAGGTTCTCATTCTGTAGCCTGGACTACCCCATTGCTGGGAACACAGGGTACACACTTGCTGCTTCCCTGGGCTAGCAGCTCAAGGTTCCCACACATCCCGTCTCAACGAAATTCTCTTAGCCTAACCCACTGTGACTTCAGGGCCCCTAGCCCATGGTGCTGGTCTACAAGCTGCAGGGTTCAGGGGCAGGTGGTGACCAGGCTGAGAAGGCCCCATAGGTATAGAGATGGTGGGGTGGGCACTCCTAAGATGTCCACTGAACATGAACAGTCACCTCATGGGATGGGCTTTGACAGAAGGAGGGAACAGGAGTGTCCTATGCAGCTACAACACGCTGTCTAACTAAGCACATGGGGTCAGGTAACCATCAACTGGTTCTGACTCCCAGAGGCCATCTGTGCCAGGCTGCCACAGAGAGGCGTGCACTGTCAGGCTTCTGGGTTTGTTTCTGGTCAGGATGCGGCTGTGGTTTCTTTTAGGGTAATGTGCCATATGTGTCCTCAAGACCCTCGAAATATCCCCCATCAGACAAAGCCAGTGGCTGTCTGTAGCTAAGGCTTTTGCTAGCACCTGGCAGGCCCCAGCAGACACTAAAGGTTCTCAAAGTCACCTTAGCCACATGCAGCCCTCCCCCCCCAAGCCACTTCAAGTGGCCATGAGTGCCAAAGCACACAACCAACACAGGCCCTGTGATACCATACCCACACTCTCACCACACCATGGACACAGAGGTCCCCCTCTCCAGATGCCTCTGCCTCATGTCTTCAGGTGTCCTCCTGTCCCAGAAGCCATTGCTCCCTGGGCTCAGCACACCTGTCTGTGTCCTGATCCTCCCTGTTCTGTTCGCTTTCCCTCTGCCTCTGGCTCAGGGCATCTCAGTGTTTCCAGAAAGCATTGCTTTCCATGGTACTCCTGCCTGGGTGCCTCAGCCCCCAGCCCCAAGTCCTGGGCAGGCTAATGGCCAGCCACAGTGGCCCCAGGTCCTGACTCCAGTGGAGTTCTCACCTAGTGCATCTGGGAGCAGAGCAGGGGTGGCAGGGACATCAGACTGTGGGGCTGGGGGTCTGTGCTCCGGGGGCCGCTCCTTGTCCTTGTGCTTCTTGGACTTCTTCTTGGGTCGGCTATGGATGTGTGAGGAGCCAGCAGGTCGCTCAGACTGGGTAAAGTCCGTCAGCAGGGGCAGGCTAAGGTGAGGGGCTGGGGCTGGGGTGGCCTCCTGGTGCTTATAGTCCTGGGCACTGTGGCTTAGGTCATTGCTGACATCAGCCAGGGGGTCATGGGTTCGTGAGGGCTCCAGCCGTGGGGGCAGATGGCTAGAGCTGAGGGTGTCCATGGAGGTAGGCCCTGGGGTGGGCAGCAGGGTCTCGTGGCCATTGGGGGCACCCAGCTTGCCATTGAGGGTGGGCTGTGCTCGCTGTGTGAAGTGTGAGATCCGGGGCTTCTTGCTGGCCAGGGGGTCAATGAAGTCTGTGGGCTGTGGCCGTTTCTGAAAAGTAAGCAGAGAAGCCTGTGGGAACCAGGAGCCACTTTCAGGGCCTGGTGTGGCCACACGGGGGCGCCCACACACAGCTGGCCCCACACAAGGGAAGGCAGCTGGGTAGAAAGAAGGCGCCTGCCTGCCCTGAGCGAGCAGGCAGCAGCAGCGGCAGGAGGGAAGCAAGTCCACTCACAGGCACTCCGCATCTACAGGGCTGTGGGCAAGGGAAAGTGGAGGGACACAGCCCCAAGGCACATGGCCACCCAGACAATTCACCGCTGATGAAGAAAGCAAGTTCCCCAAGGGAGCATGGCTCAGGCCATGGACACTGGCCATACAGGATTGTGGGGCACCAATGAGGACCCCACACTCATCCACACCCAGGCAGGTACCTGAGAGGGTGAGGCGGAGCGCCCGTGCTCCCGGGGTGGGCTGGAGCTGGTGGAGTCTGAGACGGCACTCTGTGGCTGGCACAACTTCCTGCAGAAGAATGGTAGAAGCACTATGGTGGCCCTGCCACTGTGCCTTGGGGACTACATCTGCACAAAGAAGGCCAGGTTCCCAGAGCCAGAGCTGGGCTGTATGCATGACAGCTGCCTGGCAGAGCCTAGCTGGGTCCTTAGGGAGGACTCCTGCTGTGGCATGCTGAGGTGTGGGCAGTTAGCAGCTGGGACCCCACTAGCACAAAAGCCATCCTGTGTGTCAGCTGTGACCTTATATATGGTCCTGCTATGTACAAGGTGTCACCCTTGTTCCTCCTCTGGCCTGGTACTGAGCACCCAATGGCTTATCACAGAGGAAATGGCATCAGTAGTGGCAACTAGCCCCAGGCATGCTGGCCCTGCCAGCACCACTCATTTAGGTGAAGAATACCTTTGCCTGTGAACCAGTAAGAGGCCCAGTGTGGATACCTTTAGCATTTGGGTACAGGTAGCCCCTGACAATGGGGCACACATTTGTCAGCCCAGCACTAGTGGAGGGTGGAGATACAAGGCAGGTCAGAAGTTAAGACCAACACTGTCTCTTGTAAAACCCTGGCTCAAAAAAAAGAAAAGAAAAGAAAAGCCCAGCTGTGGTGGTGCATGGTGCACGCCTTTAACTCCAGCACTTGGGAGGCAGAGGCAGGGGGATCGCTATGTCTGAGGCCAGCCTGGTCTACAGAGTGAGTTCCAGGACAGCCAGAGCTAAAAAGAAAAGAAAAGAAAAGCCCAGCTGTGGTGGTGCATGGTGCACGCCTTTAACTCCAGCACTTGGGAGGCAGAGGCAGGGGGATCGCTATGTCTGAGGCCAGCCTGGTCTACAGAGTGAGTTCCAGGACAGCCAGAGCTAAAAAGAAAAGAAAAGAAAAAAAAAATCTGGGTCTGTTGCCCACAAGTATTTGGCAGGCGACAAGCCTGGGGCCTCTGTCAAGATGTGCCCTCCCAGCCTCTCCAAGTACATGTAACTCCAAGTTGCAGCCAAGGCACAGTTAGGAGACCAGCCCAGAGTGAGCTGCTATCCTTGAACTTGAAGAAGCAACAGGAATCTCTGGGTGAGAAATCACTCAAGAACCAATTAGCCTTCCCAGTCCCAGCACCAGCGCCAGGGGAAGCATTTAATTATTGTGCCACTCTCCTGGAGTCTGCCTCATGCGCTCTGTGGGCCCAAGAGGCTCATCAGAGGCCTGGGGGACATGCATGGGACACCCTAGCCTGGAGGAGCCTGCATAGTTGGTTAGGGACAGCTATGGCCGTAAGCCATCTGTCAGGCTGAGGCTTGTCTAAGGCCTCTGAGGCTGGGGCTGGATGGGGTGGGGCTGCTGCCACCCAAGTTCACATGGGAGCTTACCGCATGAGCACACGCTTCAGTAGCTGCTGGTCCCCCTCAGAGTAGCCAGGCCAGTCCTTCTGCACATCTTTGTACATGCAGTCCTGCAGGGTGCACGTGCTGTCTCTGGGGTTCACACTGGCCACCTGCAGGATATGACGTCATGACCATCGCTGCATGGAGTCTGGGGGGACACAGGACTCTACAGGGACATGGATGGTGTGGCACCTGTGTACCCATGCTATCCCAACTCAACGTCCGTGTACTTGCATCACGAGTCACACTAAAGGTTTAGACTGTCTTTTGGATGAGGCAGGTATGACATCCATATGCCCGCAGCCCCTGACAAGCCCCCACCCTTTCAGATGGTGACCACCAGTTAATCCTCTCTTGCTTACCCCAGGCTGTCAGCTGAGGCTCACATCTCATCAGAGGGGTCTGAAGGGGCCATGGCCATGACTGTGCTGGCCTTGATGGGTGCCAGTGTGAGACATATGCACATACCAGCCATTCAGCTGTGTCAAGGCCAAAACCTGTCAGCACTCTTGAGAGGAATGGGTTACATTTTGTGGGTTTTGGAGATATAGACTTGTCTTGTAGCCCAGGCTGGCCTTGAACTTAACAATTTCGTGGGATACTGGGGTCACAAGTATGGCAGCATGCCAAGGTGGCAGAGCCTCTCACTGGCTAAGCAATTCTCTACCTCATGCCAGCACTGAGATTTAAATGGTGCACTGCCATGCCCTTCCCGTCACTCTCAGCCTCTCTACAACATGGACATATGTCCTCATACACAGGCCTTTCCATGATGGCATATGGTCCCACTGACCACCCACTACTTCCAGCAGACTTCTGACTCTCTTGATCTAGCTACCCACCTAAACAGCCCTGCCTGCACTAAAGGTCATGAAAGGCTATGGGTGCTCAGGGCCTCTGGTGACCTGTGGAGGCTGTAAAGGACAAGACCAATAGGTAACCCCCAAGACAGGCCCATTCTTAAAACCTGTGGGGTCCTGCTACCCCACAAGATATACCATATATTCACAGTGAGTTTGGTAGGGCTGGTTATGGTCAGACCCAGCATGCCTGACCAAACAGGCCCTGGGAGCCTCATGCTGTGTGTATTCCATGGCCTGAGGTAGAGGCTGACTATGGTCTCTCCTGATTCCAGGGCTATCTGTGAGACTCTTGATATGTTGTCACCCAGAGCACAGGGGGTAGGTCACCCCAATATATCTCTATGCTGTTCCCCAAGGTCTGGCTGATGCTGTCAATTTTATTTTAAATCTTAATTTTACATGCGGGGGCGTTTTGCCTGAATGTGTGTCTCTGCACTATGCGAATGCCTGGTGCCTATGGGGACCAGAAGAGAGCTTAAGATCTCCTGGAACTAGAGTTAAAGATAATTGTGAACCATCCTCTGCAAGAGCAGATGCTGCTCCTAACCACTGAGCTATCTCACCAGGCCCTTGAATTTGTTTTTCAGTTATTATCAAGGTGGGAAATGACATGATTGAACTCAGGTTGCCAGATTTGCATCATCAGACAGCAAGTTTCTTTCCCCACTGAGCAATCTCACCACCCCTGGCTAGTGGCTTGAAGTTAGCACAAGGGTTCGCCTTGTAGAGCCCCAGGAAATATTGGGTGGGGATAGCAGGAAGGCATGGCCCAGGTGTGCCCGACTGTTCCCATGAACAGTGGCACGGCTAACAGCAGTCACAGACACAGCTATGAGCAGGTCTCCAGTCTCCAACACCACACAGGTCTTCGGACACTGCCTGTCAGGGACCCTGCGAGGACATATCCAAGGCCACAGGAGGCAGGGCCTGAGACCACCGTAGAGTCAGGAAGCCTGAAGAACTGATTTTACAATGCTCACCGCATATATGGTCAGGCTGGTCTGTACCTACCTGCTGCAGCAGGCTGTCGAGGGTGTCCTTGTCTGACTGTGTCAGCCCGTCTTTCTGTAGCCGCAGCAGCAGCTCAGCCTTCCTATAGGGCCTCAGGGCCAGTAGGTGCAGCACCCTGTCTCGAAAGGGCCTCTGTGCCACACTGTTGGCTCCACTCCCACTGCTCTTTCTGATGGCACTTGCCAGGTTGATGGGGGTGGCCCGTTTCCGGGAGGGCACTGCATCGGCTGCCCCTGGTGCTGGCTTCCGGAACTGAACCTTTTTGCCTGCAATGAGAGCCTGGGTGTCAGGGTGCAGCAGGTGTAAAATTCAAGAACTGTGTCAGCATGAACAGCACAGCAAGGAGCAGGCCACAGGAGAGGTGGGGGAAGAGAATGCGCAACTGTGAGTGTGCAGCGGAATGAGGAAAAAACCAACCACAGGAAGGCACAGGTGCCCTACAGCAGCCCACGGCCTGACTCTGCTCACTTTTGCAGCTTTAGAAGCAGCGTGGTCATGGAACCTAGGCTGCCCTAGCAGCTGCAGCAGAGAAGAGGCACTGTGGCTGTGGCTGAACTACAATATCACCCAGCACTTTGTGGCAGGTGTAGGTATCAGGAGGTCATCCTGAACAACCCTTCAGGACACAGCAAACCCAGCACCTGGAGGCCTTTGACCAGAAGAACCTCTCCCTTCACAATCTGGTTCAGTCTAATATGGAGTCAGGGTCTCACTATGTAGGCCAGGCTGTCTTGGCTCACCATCTTCCTGCCTCATCTTCCGGGGTGCTGAGACAACAGGTATGCCCACTAGTTAAATAACAACTGTCTTAGAAGTCACCATGGTACCATAACAAGGTGTGACAACATGATGTTGCTAACTAAATTGTATCCGTAGAACCAAGGATTCATTCACAGGTGTGTACACAGCATCTTGACCTTGAGGAGAATGCCTCTGTCACCAAGGACAGCACAAAGCCCCAATACCACAGGCACATAGGATGAAGTCCAGCCATGCTTGCTCTCCTGAAGTCCCACCCAAAGCTGGCCCACTGCAAATGTGTGAGGTAGGGGAGAAGCAATGTGAAATCCCAACTCTTATGTTTTAGAGATGTACTTTGCCTGTGTTCATGTCTGAGCCATGTGTGCAGTAGTGGCCAAGGAGGCCAGTAGAGGGCGCTGGGATTATAGCTGTGAGCTGCCACTTTGGTGTGGGAACCAAACTTGGGTCCTCCCCTAAGCCATCTCTCTACCTCACCTGCCCACTTCACAAGACAAGAGTCTAACGTGGACTAGGCTGGCCTCAAACTCACTACATATGATAAAGCGAACAGGGAAAGACAAGCAGGCCTCAGCCCTACACCAAGCACTACAGGCAACTAAAATGCTAAGCTGAGAAACAGTCTTCCCCAGGGAGGAGCATACCAACTGACATACATGTGATACTGCAAAGGCTGAGTAGGCTGTACTTGTATATTAGGAATACATACATCATACAGACAAGACAAAGACCTCCCTTCCTCCCTGGGAATGCCTGGTGCTGGCTGTCCCACTGCTGGATTGTTTTATAAGGCCAAACTTCACCCACCTTCCAGTCTAGAGCTGTTGCCACAGCTGTTGGAGGAGTGGCTGGGGACAGCTGGAGAACAAGTGGGGCCTTGACCTGTCCCAAGACTGGGAGAGGGTGGCTAACCCAGGGCCCCTGTCCCACTTGGGGCTCACCTGGCACCTGTAGCCACAGTGCCTAACCTGCAACACCCTCTGACATGGACCTTCCTTTGAAGCAAGTGGACAGATACCACCCTGCCTAGAACAGAGCATGACGAAGCTCCTGCCCCAGCAAGCTGCTTGCCACTCACCCATATAGCGGCCTCCAGCCTTAATGACAATGGCACTCCGGCTCCGAGTCTCCTCCTCTGCCTGTGCCATGCTTTGTCGGGCCTTCTGGTAGGAGTCATCAGTGGCACACACTGTGACCTTATCCTGGATGCTGCCCAGACAGTCCAGGTGTACATCCCCATGGCTGCAAAACAAGAGGAAGTGCCAACATTAAGGTGCCACCAGAACCATGCCATGTGAGCCTGGGGCAATGCAGAAAGAGGCAGCAGTCTAGTTGTGGTAGTTTTGGGGTCCCTAGGGGCCTGAAGGCCTTACCTGGAGACATATTGCTGGATGCAGTCGAAGCTGCCCTGAGGGCTGTCTCGGCCAATATTGGAGAGGTAGAAGGAGAAGGCCCGCAGCTCTTCAGGGCAGTCAGGCTGGGGTATGGAGATATGCTGTGGGGAAAGGGGCTGTCACTGTGGTTCTGGGCATGGGGAGGCTGCAGCACAAGCAAGCACTTACCCCTCTGTGGCACCCCCTTGCATGAAGAGACAGGACAGTCACTCTCATCCTCTTGTCAAACCTAAGCAACCACTGACCTTTAGGAGGCCATTAGCCTGAGCTGTCATTCAGTTCCCCCCACCCCAACCCTGTCAACGGGATGCCTTGACCTGGGGCATCCATGAAGGTAAAACACACCCAGCTGCCACAGCAGCCAACAGGACAGCTTACACCCCTCCCAGCATATGCCTGCAGACAGACTTGGTGTATATTCCATCCTACGGCCCTGTGTGGCTCAGCAACCAAACCTGAAAAGCCCCATTGCCTGTGTCTGCCTTAATGCAAATATGGGTTTTTTTCTTTTGTTTTGTTTTGTGTGTGGTTTCTCTAACAGCTCTAGTTACCCTGGAACTCACTCTGTAGACCAGGATGGTCTTCATCTCATGGATACCCACTGCCCCTGATCTTCCGAGTGCTGAGATTAAAAGCATGTGTCACCACCACTGCCTAGCTCAAATGTGTGTTGTATTTGGAGACAGGGTCCGCAGCCTAGCCAGATCTCAAATTCACAATGTGGCCTAGGCTGCTCACCTTGAACTCCTGCCTTCACCTCCTCAGAGCTGGGATGACAGGTGTGCACCACACCTGGTTTGCTTGGCACTGGAGATGAACTCAGAGCCTCAGGAATGCTGCAGACAAGTATTGTACCCACTGAACCCTAGTTCCAGCCCTGCAATGTTTTTTTAAATCAGGTCTAAAGAGGGACAGAGTGGCCTGCCTGCATCCAGAATCTGGCCTGCCTCTCAAAACTCAATCACACGCACAGACTCATATGAGCATGCTAACACTCTCTCTCTCTCTCTCTCTCTCTCTCTCTCTCTCTCTCTCTCTCTCTCTCTACAGCCTGCAAGGAGCTGTGAAGGCAATGCTGCCATGTCATCTGTCATGGCTGTGGCTTTTGCTCTACTGAATGAAGACAGGAAGCAGCCACTTGGCTATGGGTTCAGGGAACTGCAAGGGGCTTCTGAATGTGCCCAGCGTCCATGCCACCTGTCCTTGGCACGTATTCCCAGCTTAGGCTGTAGCTGACATTCCCTTGGCACAAGTCCTGAGTTACATGTGGCTGTTGTCAAAGCCAATGACAGCTGGGCTCCTTGTGCATTCCTTCATATAGGTCTGGCAGCCTGCATGAGGTCCTCCATCACACAGACCATGGAATGGTCCCACGCAGGTCTCATATACTACTCAGTGCTGGGGGGCTCTGACTAAGCCTGCAGAGGGGCTGCTGACCCAGGTTCCTCTGGGTGAGAAAGGGAGCTTTGCACCTCTGGGGACAGGGCATACAGGGTGCTGGAGCCATATTATCCAGGCCAGGGCTCAAAGATCCAAGGAGCTGGATCTATTGAGGAGAACGCTTCAATTACTCAGACTGGTACCTGCTGTGTAGTGATGATAATCAATATGTAGCCCAGAGCCTGCTGATGTCTTAGGTGGCAGGCATTGAAGCTGGCACTTTCGACTTCTAGGTAGGTCTCAGCTGCCAGCCTTAGTAACCAATTTCAGTTGGGCTCTAGGTTGTCTGGGGTGTGTGGCTGGCCTAAGCTCAGCATTTGCAAGCACAGCCCCTGGTGAGGTGGGTGAAGCCCATTCTAGAGCACCTGGAGGCACAGGTCTGTGGGCCGTCCTGCTGGTCTGAGGCACAGCTGCCCCACTGTAATCCTGGCTCAAGATGATCTGTGTGAGGAGAAAGGGAGTCTTCCACGGGAACTAAGTTGGGTAGCAAGCTCACAGTTGAGAAATGTTTTAAGCAATGTTTTCTCAGTTTAAGACAAGATATAGGGAGTCTGGGTAGGTGGCTCAGTAGCTCTTACAGAGGATCCAAGTTCAGTTCTCAGCATCTACATAGTGGCTCACACCTCCAGCTCCAGGGGATCCCTACACCTTTGTTCTGGCCTCCACTGGCTGTGCACATGAGCACACAGACCTTCTCCCAACACATACATTCACAATTAAAAAGCAAAAGCAAACTCATATAGTGGCACAGGCCTCTAATGCCAGCACTTGGGAGGCAGAGGCAGGAAGATTTCTGAATTTGAGGTCAGCCTCATCTATAGAGTGAGTTCCAGGACAGCCAGGGCTACAGAGAGAGACCCTGTCTCAAAAAACTAAAAAAACAAAACAAAAACACCCAAAACAAAACAACCAAAACCAATGTAATGTAAAATTTCTAGTCCTTGAAAATTATTATCACAAACTATTTAAGATAATTAAGAAGATAGTAAGCTGGGCGTTGGTGGCCCATGCCTTTATTCCCAGTACTTGGGAGGCAGAGGCAGGCGGATCTCTGTGAGTTCGAGGCCAGCCTGGTCTCCAGAGGGAGTGCCAGGACAGGCTCCAAAGCTACACAGAGAAACCCTGTCTCGAAAACCAAAAAAAAAAGAAGATAGTAGTTAGCCAACAATCAAATTTCAAATTTGTGGCCATGCTAGGTATGTTTTCAATGTCAAACATATATATTTAAGACAGACATACTATGGTCTTCAAACACTTTAGAGACATACAGAATATGGCACTTAAGATGTTTTAATAACATAAGGCTTCCCATGCAGTGAGACATGTCTTTTCCTGGCAGCACCAATCTACTTCAAGCGAGGATGAGGGGCATCAAAGAACCTCAAATGGAGTTTGCTTTCATTGAGGCAAAGTTATCCACTGGGCAATAAACTTCCCTTGCCTCTATTGCTGTCAGAATGTTGTCCAAATTGGGCAAATAGGACACAAAAGGAGACTGCAGAACTTTGCTAAGACAGTCCTTCAAAATTCCTGCTTCACAGGAAAGTGTCAGATACTCTAGGCCTGTAGAGTGCCAACACGGAGGTACCTTGGGAGACTATAGCCAGATGTCTCTGTCATTTCTTAGTTTGAAAGTTGTTTGCACTGCACTTCCTTTTTACTAAGGTAATATTATACCCTTCTCAGGTCTCTTGATGGGATTGAAGACCAGACAGTTATAGTTATACAGTATTCCTTGTTTCCAAATTCAGAAAAGAAACTTACACGAGTTTATAAGGCTGAGAAACATAAAAGCTTAAGCTGTTTATCTATGAAGGTGTTTTAAAGTCTATAGAGATATTTTTAGGATGGCCAATGCAAGCCCATGATTTAGGTGTAAAACTTTGGACTTACTAAGATGGGAAAGATAATACAGGACTTTACCTGAATTTGCAAACAGAAATGGACTGGATATTGTAAATGTAATTCTTATCTGACAATTGTTCTTATTGTGTATAGTTTTACTATGTTAGAGTTAAATCCTCCCTTTTTATTTATACAGAAAGGGGGAAATGTTGTGGAATATTTGTATTGTGTGAAGATGTATTCCTGGGATTGGTTTAATAAAGTGCTGAGTGGCCCAATAGCCAGGCAGCAGGTGTAGGCGGGACTTGTGGACAGGGAGAGGGGAGGCAGGAGACGCAACAGAGACAGAATGGGACAGAGGCAAAGCCATGTGGTACAATGTAGATTAATAAAAATAAGGGTTAAGTAGGACTTGGAGAGATGGCTGAGCTCAATTCCCAGCACCCATATCTGTAGTGAGATCTGATGCTCTCTTCTGGCCTGCAGGGATCCAAGGCGGCAAAACACTGTATACATAATAAATAATCTTGAAAAAAATATGGATTAAGTTCTAAGAGCTAGTTAACAACAAGCCTTCTACAGACCAAGCCTTCATTAATTAGTAAATCTCTGTGTCATTTGGGAGCTGGCTGAGGGGCAGAAAGAGGCTGTAGTGGCTTGAATGAGAATAGGCCCATGGGCTCATCTATTTGAATGCTTAGTCACCAGGGAGTGGCACTATTTAATAGGATTAGAAGGAGTGACCTTGTTGGGGGAAATATGTCACTGGGGATGAGCTGGGAGGTTTCAAAAGCCCATGCCAGGCCCAGAGCCTCTCTCTGTGTATACAGATCAGGAAGTAAAACTCTTGGCCACTTCTCCAGCACCATGTCTGACTGTGTGCCACCATGTTCTCAACTATGATGATAATTGAGTAACCCCCAGTCCAAAGCATTACAAGAGCTGCCTCAGTCATGGTGTCTCCTCACAGCAACAGGACAGTGACTAAGATGGAGCCGAGTGGTGAAGCGCTTGCCTGGCACGTAGGAGGCCCTCGCTCCCTCCCCAGAGCCACAGGTGACTGACTGGGGTGGCGAGTTTTCATGGAAGCACTGCTACCTGAGATACTGCGCACCCATGAGAAGGCACCCCAGGGTCACTGTGAGGTGACCACCCTGCTCTCACACATGGTCTGCACTGGGTGTCTGGCTCTGGTTTGGGGTCACCCATAGGTGGGCAGGCGGGAGCCAGCCTGTGCCCGCCCTCTTCCACAGCCCATGTGTGTGTCATGACAGGAAACACTCACTCCTTGACTTCCTTCAAATCGGATAGATGGTCTCAGGGACACAGAATCCTACAAGAGAACAAAAAGGGAAAGCTTCAATGGACAGAAAATCCACACCCTTCCAGCCACACAGGACCAGGCCACAAAGCACATTCAGAAACACAAAGGGTTTTGAAGGGCTGGTAGGAGTTCCAACTGCCAGAGCCAAAGTCACAGGAAACAGAGCCTTGAGACATTGGAGGGGAGGGGAGGGGCTGGCCTCCAGCTCAAGAGCCATGGATGCTGTCACAGGGTGACTCCTTGCCAGAGGAGGTCTTGGTCACTGTGTCTGTGTAGCAGCTTCTACATTGAAGGGCTGCATTGAAGGGCTTCAGCCCAGAGCAGGCTGACCATATCCCTGGGCCTCCAATCTGCTCCTGAGCCCACTGGGTCCAGGCAACCTTCTCTCAGGGATGCTGTCTATAGCCTCCTGCCCCCTCCATTTCTCCCCTAGACACGGAGTTGATGTACAGCTGTAATGCCAATCCCCCTGTCCCCACGTGCAGGGCAGGCCTGGGGGGGGGGGGGGATGGGGACCACACACACTGGGCCAGAGCCAGAATCAGTACCACCAGCTGGCATGGTAGGATCAGTCGGCCAAGGGGCAGGTGGCACACAGTGAGGTGGCCTGTGGCCCCCAAGGTATCTGCAGAGACCCTTTCTTTCCTTGGACTCTCTTTGTTCTCCAGAGACCCGTCGTCATCACATCCCAGCAGACATGTTCCACAGGCTCAGCCCCTAACAACCAGTCTAGCTGCTCAGCCATGTCACAGAACACCCAGCATCCACCTTCTTTCACACAAGGACCACATACGAGAGGAAGCATATATGAAGGCCACTTCGCCACACCACAACCCAATCTCCTACCCAGTGGTGGATGTCCTCAGGGGCAATGACAGGTATACTTTCTGGAATGCCCTTAAGACAGACAGACACAACACATGACAGTAGTGTGACAACCCACACCCTTGCACAGGGCAGAACCACACACACAAGTGCACACGCTGTACAGTGTGGTAGTGTGGTTTGGTCTTGTGTGGTGCTGGGCACACTTTGCTATGCCACACCAAGAACAAAAGAATTTACAGTCAAAGACACACTTTTGGGGTTCATGGCCACATGCTGTGTGAGTGAATCCCAGCTCACAGGAGCATGAACCAGAGCCCATCCTGGAGTCATCTTTGGCTATATAGAAAGCTTAAGGTCAGCCTGGGCTGCATGAGATCCTGACTAAAAAAGTCAAAAACCAAAACCCCTCACCACCAGATACTTGTATGGGAGCCACCTCTGGGCACTGCCTCCCTCCCTCCCACTGTGGGTGTCTCTGTAGACTAGGGGGTCAAAGAGCACAGAGAAGCCCCATTCATTATCCTGCCACCTTCTTTTTTCAGGACTGGTACACATGCTTGGACGGTCATTGGGGCCATATCTTACCATAAATGGAAAGACAGGTTAAAAAGGAAGCCTTTGAAAGAGGAAAACTTTTAAAGAGCCACTCAGCGCAAAGGCGACAGATAGGGCAGGTGGCCCTGCCAGCTGAACGTCAGTTACTGGGTCTGAGTGGCACTGGGCCTGAGGCCTAGAAGGTGCTCAGGAGGAACAGCAGGTGCAGCGTGGCCCACCCCCACCCCCAGGGCAAGCTCTTCAGAGGCTAGTACAGAAGCAGAACATGGCGATTCAACAGGCCACCAGACTTCTGAGGGCCAGGACAAGGACACAGCAAGAAAGAGCACATCCTCCACAACGTGCTTGGAGTCTTGGGGTTGGCAGCCCAAGGGGCCAGCTTTGAGAGTGGCCTTATGGCCACGCTGGCACTTTGCTTGCTCTAAAGAGTCCCCGGCTGCTCATGATCCTACAGCTTTCACAGAGGATGGGAACAGAGATGCCCAGGAGCTCACTCAGTTCTTCCTCAGACCTGGGAAGGCTGACCTCAAGTGGCTGTCCTCATGTAACCTGGTTCCCAGCCACAGAGGCTGGGCCCTTCCTGTGAACAAGCATTCACTTAAAAGACCTTACTCGGCAGCTACCTAAATGACCTACCCAGACCCTGGTCGTCTGATTACAGCTCCCACTGGGCCACAAAGACAAACAAGCTGTGCAACAGCAGTGGAAGACTGAAGCAGGAGCATAGTAAGCCCCAGGTCAGCCTGGGTTGCAGGGCAAGACCTGGCCTCAAAAGCCAACAGCCTCTGGACAGAGTGCCGTGACCCATACCTGTCACAAGGTCACAGTGAACCCACCGGAAGAAAGATTAATAAAGCCACATCAGGAGGGGTGTTGCTCAGTGTTCTACAACAACTGTGGCAGGACCACAGCTATTCACCACAGCCTTGGCCCATTCGCCTGACAGTTAGAGGCCCACTGGGTGAGTCAGTATTGGGGAGAGGTGAACAGGGTGCATAGTGCCTGCCAAGAGTCTTGTGGAGGAACCTCATAGCCTGGCTGGCTGTGGCTGTCATCCTTGGCTCCTGTGTCCTAGGACAATGAAGCCAGGCCATGTGAAGGACAGCAGGTGCCTCACATCCAAGCTGTTCACAGCACACACTCAAAGACCTTGAGAGACCTAAGGGTTCGGGTTCTTCAAAGATGTCCTGTGCTCTAAACTACCTACTCCTACCACACCCACCCTGGCAACCCTCTGGTTTCATCTACCCCACACAGCGCGCGCGCACACACACACACACACACACACACACACACACACACACACACCCCTAGTATATACAAGAACCTTCTGGGATGAAGCCCCACCCTTTCAGCCAGGTTTAGACCCTGTAGAAGGACCCTCCGCCCTCTTGGATTCAGGCTGCTGAGTGTCTAGGCAGCTCCAGCACCAACCCTAGACCAATCTGGTCAGTGAGCGATAGGCGCTAATTGGTGGCAGAAGTCCAAGGCTGTGAATGGCAGGGCTTGGGGGCTCTGTACTGGACCACAATCCTGTAGCTCAGGAAGGCTATGTAGTGCCAATGGCTATTTCAGGCTTGAGAAAGAAGTAACCTGGAGTTAGGCATGGTGGTGCACACCTGTGAACCCAGCACTTGAGAGGCAAAGGCAGAAGGTCAGAGTTCAAGGTCATCCCCAGCTGGTTTGAGGCGAGCCTGGGGTACATGAGACCTAGCCTCACACCAAACCTTAACAAGAAGCAGCACAGTCTTGCCACCCTAAGGCAGAGTGTTGTGGTTGTCACTGCTGGCCCCTCCCTCCACTAATGCATCTCTTAGCACCACTCTGAAGGGGCACAGGACTCCTGGCAGGATGTCTGCATGCTAGACTCAGAGAGAGGCCTTTACAGGTGACCATGGGGTAAACCTGAGATTCCCACGATGGATGTCCCCTCCCCTCTTCTCCACTCCCCCCACATTTGGTGGCCACACTATTTCCTTGCCTCTCTCATGTGGCCACTTTCAGTCACTCACTGGCCCCATTAGAAGCACAAATTGGCCACACAAATTATGTCCAGGTGAGGTGAGCTAAGAGAGCCACCACCCGAGGACCCATCCCATTCTTTGGCTGTGGACCTGCTGGTAACCAGGGCTGGGTGTGCTGTCCTGTCTGCGTAGTTGCCAGTGGGAGGCATGCTGGGGCCCAACAGGGCAGCCTTTCTGTTCATCTGCCTGCTCACTTACACTGAGTGTCCTGTGCTTGGTACCTACCATGCTGCCTGGGTGCTCGCTGTGTGCAGGTGGACCACCTCATGGGTCTCCCCTGGCTTGTGACCCACTGAGGGAGGCAAGGAAATACTTGGGTCTAGCTTATTGTGTGTAGTTCCATCCCTGGGCTTGTGGTCCTGGGTTGTGTAAGAAAGCTGGCTGAGCATAAGGAGCAAGCCAGTAAGCAGCACCCTCCATGGCCTCAGCATCAGCTCCTGCTCCAGGCTCCTGCCCTGTGTGAGTGAACGGTGATGGGGGAGCATAAGACAGTTGGCTGTCTGCTACCTGCCCTGCTGCAGTCCATCTGGCTTCAGGGTCCCATAGTTTATAGTGCCACCTACGGGCCAGATGACAGCAAGTGTGACACTTCCTCAGTTCTCAGCAACTTCTAGTTGGCCCCTAGTGCATGTGGAAGGTCACTCGTGGTCTTAGGGGTGATGGTGGCTAAGGGGGTCACATCACCACCCCTAGGGTTAAGAAGCCTGACCATGTGCTGTGGGCAGGCAGCAGCAATAGCCATACTCTTTGGGGACAGGTGTCACTCCTGAAGCTTGCTGAAGCCAAGCGTCTGGCAGAGGACACAGCTGTGAGCCAGAGTACTGGCAGGGCCACTGTATCTGGTTGGCAGCACCAGCACTCACACTGAAGAGGCTGTGGGGCAGTGACATGGATGCCCTCAGCACTGACCCATTCCTGGGACAGGTCAATGTATTGGGAACACCCCTACACCAACCTCCCCACCCCATCCCCTGCACCCCACACAAAGGCAAACACCAGGGCATAGAGCCTGGAGTCCTCTCTTCATCTCCAGAGGACAGCTTAGATGAGGCAACAGGAAGTGTTTATGCAAGCTCTGAGGCAGGGGACAGTTTACAGAAGTGTGGCCCAGGATCGGCTGATATCAGATTCAGCACTGAAGGGCTAGTGTCTTCACCCACCTTGGGAATTTTAGGGAACTCAGACTGGGACCCTTTCACTGAGCAAAAGGAAAGAGTGTTAATGCCCAGGCTTCCTGGTGGCTGCCACAGAAAAGTCAGTATAGACCACAGGAGAGGCACTGATTCAAAAAGAAAGGGGGTGGGGGTGAGGGGGAAAGACAGGCAAGGGGCTGGGGCTCAACTGATAGAGGCTCACCTAGCGTGCACGAGACCCTGGGTTCAATCCCCAGCACCCCATAAACTATGTATGGTAGTGCACGCCTGTAATCCCAGCATTTGAGAGGCGGAGGCAAAGAGGCCACGTTATCCTTGCCTATCTAGTGAGTTAGAAGCCAGTCTGGGATACATAAAACTGCCTCAAAAGCAAATGGGGGGGGGGTGAGCTGAGAAATGGCTCAGCGATTAATAGCACTGGTTACTCTTCCTGAGGACCAGGGTTCAATCCCAACACCCACGTGGCAGTTCACAGCTTTGTTTTTAACTCCAGTTCCAGGGGATCCAACACCCTTTTTTGGTCCTTGCCCGAACCAGACATGCATATGGTGCAGACATACAGACCGACATGCATGCAAAAGCACCCATACACATTGTTCTAAGGGAAAGAAAAAACAAGGGGCTAGGAGCTGGCTCCCTGATTGAGAGCATTTACTGGTCTTTCTTGGATGGCGTTTGGTTCTCAGCACCCACACAGGGCAGCTACCAATGTCTGTAGCTCCAAGGAACCTGAACCCTCCACAGGCACCTAAACACACACAACATACATCCACACACAAAAATAAAATAAACAGCAGGGTAGTGGTGGCACACACCTTTAAACCAAGCACTTGGGAGGCAGAGGCAGGCAGATCTCTGAGTTTGAGGCCAGCCCAGTCAAGAGAGCAAGTTCCAGGACAGCCAGGGCTACACAGAAAATCCTGGTCTTGTACCCCCCCATTTAAAAAGTTGTCATGTATTTGAAAGGCATATATACCCCAATTCAACTTGGTGGCTATGGAGACATGGCTCCAACTGGACAGTTATGTTGTGGCAGCACCCCGAGTCTAGAAGAGCAGGGCTGTGTCTGAGACACTGGTCCCAAGGCTGCAAAGAGCAGATATGTGATGTACTGATCAGATCTAGAGCCAGACAAGGCTGGGTGACGGTAGCAGAGCATGCTGTGCCCTTTCCTGGAGCCAGGCACATCAGTTTATCTCAACCTTGCTGAGCAGTGTGTCCCCACTCCCTCTACATCCTACTCCCCATCCAGAACAGAACACCAGGGAAAGGAGGGTATGGATCCCTTCTTCCAGGACCCCTCGGAGCACCAGGCCATAGGCTGTCCTTTCAGAGG